AATTTTAACTTTTATGGAGACATAATTATTAATGTTTTCCTGTAATTTTAACTTATCTAAGTATTTTTCTGGTGTAAAAAATTGATTTGTGGAATCAAAAATGCGATTCAACTAGTTCAGTAGTACAGTAAAAAAGGGTGAGATTCTCAGACCAATCAAAGTTATGTTCCTAAGTTATCGTTGATTTAGTTCAATAGAACGATGTAATGTGATAGTAAACAAAAAACATGTTTAAAACTCTCTAACGTAAATTCCCCGCTGTCAACCAACGACTTGTTCCCAAAACACATTACAGCATCCCGCTGGCTTGCGACAACTTCATTAAAAGTGCCTTATAAATAAATTGCACGGGCTGCATCGTACAACGTTTTGTATGCTTTAAATATTCTGTAATTACTATTTTGTTTTCGTTTAAAAACATTATCGTACATTTTGAAACGCTCGGCGCTCATTACTTGGCCCGCTCGCTCACAACTTTATTAAAGCTACAAACAAAATGTAAGGTTACACTCTTATGACTTTGACATCCAAATCTTGTGTACAATTTTTGACGAAGACCTTGTTAGTATTTATATTTTGTTGAGTGTGTGACATATTAAACATAAGTCGGCTCGAACAAGGTTTTAATGAAAAAACTTTTTGACTCAATATGTTCTTTGCTGTCACTGTTACGAACCTAGCTTGAACGTAGTGTAAAAGTGTGTCACATTAATGATTCTTAATAATTCTGCCTGTACCTATAACTTATTAGCCCCTACCCTAATTAAAATTTTACTTTTAACCAATCAGAAAGATTAAAAAGATTAAATTGAAAACTCAAGATACTCTGTCAATTTGGCAATCGGCGATTTGACTCATTTCGTTTAGTAAAATATTTGTTTTCAATGATTATATCAAATTAGAAAGAAAGAAAGAAAGAAAAGTGGTTTATTGACACACCGTCACAAAGTATAATAACACAAAAAAATTAGATAAACTACCAACCCAACTCAATTTACTTCTAAGAACATTAATTACAATAGAACTAGAAAATTATATTCAATAAAAATAAATCGGCTTGAGCTTATAACTTGGGCCGCCATAAAAGCCGTCCGCCCGTCGCTCCGCTCGACAACTTAATTAAAAGTGGTGCGCAAACAAAACGCAACATGGTCGCGACACTCTTTGTGAGAACATCAAAATTAAAATAATTATACCATGTCATACAAATTAATGATTGAAAATTATACTAAGTTACGGTATTTTATCAAGGCAAAGGTTTTTTTAAAGAAATTCATTGTAATTTGCACTAGGTAAAAGTAAAAAATCAATCGGCTTAGATGTTCTTTTGTAAGGGGGAAAATCATCGAATGACTGTTCCCGCCTGGGTGAGACGGGTGAGAGTGTCAGACTCTTACTGACTAAAAACCAACCCGTTCCTTCTCCTGCACTTCGAGCCGGAGCCCCGGTAACCCGTTAGGTTCGCCGCGACTATCGTCTTAGGTGTGGGAGAGCCATACTTCGCCAATCCTCAAATTCCTAATCCCCAAAAGGCCATTAATACACTTGTAACGCCTCTGGTGTTTCATGTGTCACGTCAGGTTATCCGTCTGTTCGTTTACAAGTACCTATCTAAAATCTATCAAATTGATGAAATGATTGAATCTAACATTAGACTGAGGTTCATCAAATGAAAGTTTAGTTTACTTTGTTACATAAAATGTAAATATTTAATATAGTAAAGATTATGATGATAATTATTTTGTAAAATAATAAATAGCGATGAGTTTTTATCCACCCACTATAACATCAACGCATTGCCACTTATAAAGTAAAAAAAAACTTATTGCCATCTTATTAAAGCTCATATTTCTCATAAGACATGTTATAAGAATATACGAAGAATGCTCTCTCATGGAGCTGGTTTCACATATCGCCCGCCAGTCGCTCTGCTCGACAACTTCATTAAAAGTGGAGCGCAAACAAAACGCAGTAGCAACACGCGACACCCTTTGTATGCCAATCAACATTTTTGAAGCACTCTGTATAACATGTAGAAATACTTGTTCGCTGATTTTGTAGTGTGTTAAGCATCATGTTCTTTGTGCAGCTTATCTTGTGGGGATGTTTCTGATGTAGGTGCCACAGTCGTGTTTTGTGAAAATACAAAGGTTTCAGCGAAAATACCCAATGCACCAAGATGTGAAAATTTTAATCATGGAAAAGTGTGTCAAAAATTGGTAGCAAAAAGCTAGCTAGCCGGGTAGGTAGGCTAGGTAGCTATAAAAAACCGCTACTGTCACGAGGCAAGTTTTTGTGACGATTTTCGGAACAATTTTACCCCACTTACAATCCCATCCCATAAAATCAACACGCCATGACAACCATCACCCTCACCTCATAAAACCATTGATCCATTACAAAAACCCAACAATACACAACTAAAAAACAAATGAACACGGCAACAACAACGAACTCGAGTGTCCGCAAACATTTTCATTTCGAAATGTAAATTTAAAAATGGAAAACGAACATGTTTAAGCGGCACCGCATTAATCACTGGCTGGACATGTTGGATATCTAACAGACAAAGGATACATTGGCAACTGTAAACAATTGTGGAAAAATGACAGGGACGGTATGGTCATAGGATGAGGACGTTGTGGCGATGTGGAATACTTACTTTCCTTTTAATTAATGATGTGGGTAATCTTCTAACTAAAGGCTACCTTCATCTTTGCCTTTGGCCAGGACTGGGGCCTAGTGTTTTTTGCCTCAGTTATGTTGCCATGCCGTTGGCAACATGTAGTAACTTAAAGAGCTGGCGCTATAGAGTTTTGCAAATTGGCTGGTATGGGATAAGCTATTTTCTAATTCTTGAGTCATATAAGGATTACGAACGATTTTTTTGTTCGACTGTTAGTAGCAATAGGACGTCTGATGGCAAGCGGTCAGCGTAATCTGCCAGCAAGACTAAGACAACACAAGTGTGTCACTAACTATGAAGGACATGACTGTGTTTGTAACTATGTAATTGCGTTATTTTTTGGTTTTAGTTTTAACAGAAAGAAAGAAAGAAAAAGCATTTATTTGACAACAAATAATAATACTTTCACCATAAAAACTAATGGAAAATTACAGGAGTTACGTTTGATTACAGTGATATGAATGCAAATATCTCCAAATTTAAATATGCATTGAATCGATTGGTCTCTTATTTATTCGCCAATTACATAATAGAATAACCACCCGTACCTAATGAATTTAATGGCAGGAAAAAGTTCCCAAAAATAAATACCTCCATCTCTTTTTCACCCATTATAGAAAGAGCCGTACCAATATTTTTTCCTTGTCAATTGATTACCATAGAATTCCGATTCCATTGAATTTGTTTTCGAAATCAATATGGAAATATTATGTAAAATATTTACATACACTGCCGGCCTTTAGGGACCGTCAGTACTATATCTGTGTTCGGTTATTGAGCGGCTCTCGAATTAAGATAGATTGTTATTCCCGGGTTAAATGAAATAATATAGAGTATCGTGAGTTCTATTATTTTTTTTTAATTATAGACCGTATAGTAACAGAAATAAGGTCCTGGTTGTAATATTAAGAGATTGGCAAATTTTAAGAATCGAATTGGCGTATGTTATTAACCTACTGGTTATTATCATAACATTATCGTTCATCATCAACAGCCTATAAATCTCCACTGCTGAGCAAATTCTCTTCTCACACGGAGAAGGTTTGAGCATTAATCACCACGCTTGCTCAATGCGGGTTGGCGATATCAAACTTATAATTAGAAAATTGAAAATATGCCCAGGTTTCCTCACGATGTTTTCTTTCACCGTTTGTCAGAGGTGTCTAAATAATCTTACAAAGTACCCACATATAAATCGGAAAGAGTCACATTGGTACTTGCCGTTGATAGGTCTCGAACCCGGAACAAAATATTACTACCATTACAATAGAGTATTATTCTAAAACTTATTAACATAATTTAAGTATCTGCATATATCTCAATACTTTAATTTGAGGTTATACATCAATTAAGAAAAAATTTTAAGACAAAACTGTACGTACTATAAGAGTAAGGGACAATGATATAAATGATTTTGCATATATCTAAAGTCCGCAGTTACTATTATTGACATATATTTTAATGTTTATTATTGTCGTAATAAAATATTTATGTTTAAAAGTTACATGAAATTATAACAGTCGAACTTCCCAGTATTTCACCTTATCCGAACCCTCAATGCTACCTACAAATCAGCCACGTGCCCCCAATGCCCCACTTACCTACCCCCAACCATAATATGAATTTTGCAGAACTCTTTCAGAATTACAAACAGCTTATCTATAAACGAAAAAAATCCGACGATTCCCTCGCAATAGCGATTCTTTCAAAGACTTCGTTCATACTCCATCTTTTTCTAATATACAGACTTTGTATATACCTATCTCTTTCTTTTAAGGCTTTTAGCTTCACGCCCGTCCCTGTATTTCATTTATGGTGTTGGTCCAAACTGTTTTTAAAGTCCTCCCTTGAGTTGGTACAATTTGTTAGCGTTTTGTACCATTCGGCTTCTATCGGCCGATTGGTATATTTATTTCCAACAAATTGGAAGTTATATTTTATTTCCTTGTTCGGTCCTTAGTGTCGGGTTTCTGTATATTTAGAGTTCGGCCCAGCGTATTGAGTTTTTACAATCGCGGTTGTGGCTCGGAATTTTTATTTTCCATTAGATGGTTTGGGTAGGTATTTACGTAGTTGTTTATCTACAAGTGTTTGTTTGAGGGTTATAACAAGATTTTCCCAGAGATATATCGTGTTTAAATAACATTATTTCATCATTATGGCGTTTAAACAATATTCTACGAATTAAAGTTCCAGTAACTTAAAGCAAGTCCTGCCACATATTTCAATCTTCGTGTACCACGTATCCCAGTCACTTGCCCAGTGTGCCAAATCAATATTTTCTGTGGACAAAGAACTAACAACTATTACTTACGTGTTAAGCTCAAGGTCCAGTCGGAACTTGTGATTGAAAGCTTTGATGAGAAGTGAAGTCCTATGAAAGTGTTTGCCAGTCTGAAACAAATGAAAAACAACATTATTGTTATGACCATAAAGAATAATTTTCTTTTTACAGTTATGAATTACCGAAAAATTTGTTAGTCGGTGTAGGTTTTAGTACAGTTGGTGTAATTAAGAAACTAATTCGAACTGGTGATTACTTATGAAAGTTGGAAATAATAAGAAGTATAAGAAGTAGCTCTGTAATATTAATTTAGTGTTTGTCTTTAACATTTCATTACAGAATTAAGAAGGAACTAAATTAGCTCACAGAGTTTGTAGTTTAACATTTCAAAAGTCAAAACATTTGTAACAAGTAGTATATTTCAGTATACTAGAGTTTTTATTAATTCCAAAAATACAAGGTATTGTCAATATAGATTTTTTGTTCAATATAGATTTATATGTGTAAATATAGACTTTTTGTTAAAGTAAGAGTCTCTATCAATACTCTTTTTTAAGTTCTATATAAATAGAACATGACATAATTAAATATTTTATGTGTAAACTTTGATTAAACCAAACAAAACATTACCCAGCATTTAAAGGAATTCGACGAATATTCAAATAACGAAGGTAAAAATAAAGGCTAAATTTCCCTGAAGCAGCGATCTTTGAGGCTTAATAGGCACTTAGACATACGTATGAAAAATGTTGATTTCTAGGCACCGGGACCCAAATATTTAACTGAAATTATTTACATTTATACGTATTTTCTCAAGAAGAGTGAAGGACTTTAGATGGAAATGTTCTCTAAATATTTTTGTAAATGAGAAAATAAGAATCAAACGATTTTATTTATTCTACCAGATATTAATGAACGGTACGATACCATGTGTATTGACTATCCTTACTCCTTACTAATATTATAAATCTGAAAGTGAGTTTGTTTGTTTGTTTGTTTGTTCCACCTTCACGCCGTAACTACTCAACCGATTGCTTTGAATTTTTGCAGACGTAAAGTTAGAAGTCCGGATTAAATAATAGGGTACTTTTTAACCCGGAAAAATTGATATTCCCGAGGAAAAACAAAAGTATTGGTATAGATGGCGCTGTGTGTATTGGTATATGTCACATAGGCTACTTTTTATTCTTTTGTGACGCGAGCGAAGCCGCGGGTAAAAGCTAGTATTAGTTAAATGATTCATTCATTTAAGAGTTTATAAAAAAAATGTACGTATAGGTAATCCGTAAACTCATTCATATCACATTCATGACCCAATTTTGTCCAACAGACATTTGTATTCCACCCACAGTGTACACTCACAGTCAAAACCAAAACATAACATTTCTAAAATCCCATTAAACACGCCCATTTTGTTTCACGGAATCTGGCAAAACAATGTCAACCTGTTAATGGGTACTATAATGTCCCTAGTGAGCTAGTGAAGGGTTGAACGAGTCAGTGTGTGTCATATGTACCCAATCGCGTTATTTACGCTTTAGGAGTTTCGTAACATCGAGAAATGGCGTGTTGTTTCATAAAACCCATGTTCATTGGGGCAAAGTCAATCGAATTTATGTTTGTATTATATTCTGTCTTTAATGACATAATTGAGTACTGTTTCTTTAAATTCTTATTATTATATTAATATTGATTATTAACATATTAAGATTCATTCGAATCTGGTAGTAATTATGTTCATAACATATTGTTCTTATATAGTTACTGACAAGGGATAATTCTGATATCCCCTTTCTTTTAATATATGTCATTATTACCCACAGTGGGCTACTTCTTTGTTATGTAGTCAGATATTAATTAGTATCACGTATATTATGTTTTTATAATAACTATCGTGAGACATACTAAATTAACTAAGAATGGCGGGTTACTCACGTGACTATACTACTACTACTAGTTTCGGCGCGACGATGTCGCGCAGCTTACTTAATAGACCGCGCATGCTGCTCATAAGGAAGACCCCCTCTGCGGTTCGAAATTAGTAGAGCTTTTCTCAGTATATTCACGTGAGTAACCCGCGATTTTTAGTTAATTTAGTATCACATATACCATCTGTTCCCGTGCTATTTTTTACCTATAAAAAATAAAAAGGTTTTTCAAATCGATTATACCCAACGTTTTGGCAAGGAGCCACATAATATTAGTCCTACCTTTTCTTTGAATTTAAAGATAAAACAATCAAATAAATTTTGAATCTTTCGCAATTCTTTTCCTTACAGTTTTATAAACTTCGATAAATCATTGTATTTTTCGTTTTAACTTCAGTGAGAGAACGGTAAATTTTACTTGGGCACTTTGAATTTTCATTATTACTTGTTTGGTTTCCTTATTGGAATTCAAAGGTGTTTGTGTGTGACTCTTGTAGAGATATGGTGTATATTAAGTAGGTCATAGCAAATAGAAAATTGAGAATGCCAAGTACATTATGACAATAATAATTTATGGTTTAACATTTATATTGTTTAATTTTAATTTAAGATTGTAAAGTTCATAATATCACGTCTGTTATCACAGGCATCTTTTATGTAGGCACATTACCTACGGCACTTAATGCCACTGTGTGTGGCAATGTTGTACCCACTTTTCACAATTTATGTTATAGGTGCCATGTTATTGAGGGTGAGCCTATTAACATATACCAGGCACAATTCTAGCCTCCGTGCTACTACTGAGAATTTTTTAAAACTCATTAAAACTTTGCCCAATCCGGGAATTGAACCCAAAACCTTTGGCTAGCAGTCGCACATGCGACTACTCGGCCAACGAGCCAGTCAGTATAAAGTTCAGTTTTCGTTTAAATCTAACTATTTACAAAATAATTGTTGTTAAACCACTATTCGGTTTTCATCTTGTATTAAACAACTTGTCGGACCATTGCACAAAACAAAATAGCGCCCCATAAAATACACACCCGATTACATAGACGTTCCATACAACACTTCCTTAAAGGAAATTCAACCGAAGAGGTGAAACAAATGGGTCATTCTTTAGGAAAAATAAGTTGTGACGGGTCAATGAACCGAACGTCTATATCAGTTGACTGTGACGTCACCATTCCACCAGAAAAAGCAAGGAGGCAAACATAATTATATAAGGTTGACTTCGTGATTGAATTTGCCAGTCCGATTGGCGTGATTTCCATTTTTTTTATATTTACGACGTTTTTCGGAGGTGTTTTTTTTGAGTAATAAAAAACGTAAATTACCGAACTGTCGTGATTCTTTTACTAATATTACAATAAAGTTAATAAAAGTGAGAAAGTGATATCTAGTTATAATAATTTCTTGACAAATAACAGACAAACAATAAATATTGTTTTGAAAAATAATACTGCTTGTAAAAATGATCGTTTATTTAACAGTCAGAACTTACAGCCATCAAATAATATAAAGAAGAACGTAGCCGTCAAATATTTGATACGTAAACAAACATGGCATTTAAACAACAGAACCAACCTACAGACTTCTAAGAAAAGGTCAAAAGGTACTTGAACAAAATGATATTTTTTGTCAAAGATATTCACAAAGTATTATTTATTATTGTAACCTAAATCTTTCACAATCAAACGGCAATTACGAACACATAAAACTGTGACAAACAGAATTTTATATAAACGTCGCCTAATGAGGGAATTTTACACGTGTTGTAGAGCTATTGTGCTGAAACAATGGCCGCTTACAAAGCTGCAAAAGAAAGGACAACAACTCTTTATTATCAAATATGTAGGTCATATAATAACGAGCTTTGTGTATACCTACAATATTGTATGCCCACTTACCACATATTTGCTAAATTGGGTATTATTCAGCATTAAATTGAAAGCTATAAAAGATCAAATGTTTATTTTTATTTTTGTCTGAGGAAAAATATTTTAAGAGCACTGTGCGGTCGGCTAATCGTTCCTTCGTTTTCTGATTTCTTTATGAATTCTGTTTATTGTTGTGGTCGAAGTTTTTCTTTATAATTTTCCTTATTATAAATTTAATTAAGCGGCTGTGCTATTGGGTTTTAGAAAATATTCCGAATATACAAATTTATAATGATTATTTTCGAGTCTAGTGGACCGTAAATTAAATATTCGTAATTTTAGTAGGTTTTGCCTACTAAAGTACTAATTTAAAACCTTTTTATTGGTTCGCTGACTATAGAGGGGTTGGCGTTATTTTTTTAAATACTTTATCTGAGCAGATGTAATTTAGCTTCCAGAAGTCTCAAGTCAACACCGTAATTTAATATTGCTATGGTTAGTTAGTGACTACATAAACAGCTGCAGTGCAGTATAATGAACGTACTATCTGTGTGTATGTACAAATAAATATAAATATAATGTTTACAATGCCGTCGACCAAAAACTCCAGAATTAAATTTTTGTTACAAAATATTGTGGTACTACAAATATGGGATGCATTTAATATAAAATATCTATACATACTGTGTTTGCTAATAAGCAAAATATTATTATTGTCGTACAAAATTGGCGAGGGTAACAAAAATATAATTTTACGTGTTATTACCCTAGGTCGGGGTAACCGCCGGCGGGGAGGACGATGCATCGGATTATTGCAGGCCATCACAGAAATTTAATAAACCTTCGCTCTAGGCTATACACCAACGCGTCAGTTTCGTGAAAAATAAAAAACGTACACTCAAAATGTTCACCGGATTTCTGTTTTAATATTTATTGGTGACACGTTTTTAGATTTTAGTGTGGCGGGTTTATGAAATTAGATTAACTCGTGGGATCGCGTATACCTATGTATGTACCTATATTTATTCACTCAAAATAAAATATGAAATATTTGGTTTTACCCGGTGGAAGAGAACAGGTTGGTTTCGATTTATGAATGCTATTGTTGAACACTAAGTCCTACTAGTTACCAGAATTTGAAAAACATATTAACGTTCTCTACTTTCGCAAACCAAATAAGCTTCAGTTGAATAAAATCATCAGCAAGAAAAAATATTAACAAAACGTAAACTATTTCAAAAGCACATAACACTATGACAATAATACTCAAATTATTATAATAGCCACTAACAAAATATGTCA